GGGCCAGGCAGGCGCAGGGATGCTCGCTGGGTCAGCACAGGAGCTGCCTGCACCTTTGTGCAGCGCTGCGAGGCTGAGGGCTCCCTGGGGCTGGCTGCAGCGTGCGCATGGGCTGCACAGAAGTAAGGCAGACTCCAGGTCTGAGGGAGAATTTTAGGGTTTCTCTTCTGTTTGCAGTTACCCCTGAACTTCAGGAAAGGCTTGATTCAGACTGAGGTAACCGGGTTAAGTTCGGGGCTAGATCTGATCAATACCTCCCTCGTGGAAATAGCCCAGGCTTGGAGAAGATCTTGGTTGAGAGCCAAGATTGATTTTAACCCCTCTTCTTCCTTCCCTTGTTACCTCGTGTTTGCTAGAATGATTTTAGAGCAAGTTAAGAGGCCTCTCTCTCCTTGCCATAGCCTAAACGTACCCACTGAGGAAAGGTACCAGTGGTCTGTACAGGTCTTTGTTAGGGCTTTGCAAAACTAGGGCTGATAGAAGGCAGGATCAGAGCCGGTGGTTTCACTCCCAAAGGCTCAGCCCGTTGCCTGGGGCATGTTGTTTTGCTCTGGAAAAGCATGTGCTTTAGTGTGTTACCTTGAATGATGATGCGGCCCTGGTAGGTGTCTCTCCCTTTGATGTTTTCAGCCTCACACTCGTAAGTGCCTTCATCCTCAAAGCCAACATCCTGGATCTGCAAGAGGGGCTCGCTGCCGATCCACTTGGAGGCCTGGGAGCCGTCCAGCTTCCTCCACTTTATCCGAGGAACAGGGCTATGGAGAAGTGAACGTGGTGACGGGCAGCTCTTGCTGCAGTGCAGCACGCTCGGTCCCCACGTGGCCACCCAGGTCCCATCCCAGCTGGGCCTTGGCCAGCAGGACAGATGGCTTTAGCCAGTTCCCCCTCCTGTTCCCCCTCCGTGTCTGGTCTCCAGCAGCCCCGTTGAGGAGAGGGGTTGTTGAAGTTGCGGGGTTTGCCAGACCCTCCCCTTCCCGAGCAGGACAGACGCCGCACTCACTTTCCAAAGGCAAAACACTCCAGTGTCACCATCTGCCCAGCCAGGGCGTAGGTGTCCGCAGGAAACCTGGCTTTGATGCTGGGAGCGTACTGCCGGGCATCTGCGGGGGGAAGCACCGGTGGGGAGGTCAGCAGCACTGCAAACCAGCCCGTGTGAGCTCTTAAAGGGCAGAGGTACTCCTAAGTTCTGCTGCTTTCCAAAGCCTTTGTGTGGCTGGAGAAGGCAACAGAGGCTGAGTTTCCTTTTCTTTTCGAAACAGCTCTTGCTAAAGACTCTCAAAATCTCTTTACAACATCTCATAGAGTCCCAGCCTGGTTTGGGTTGAAGGGACCCTGCCACAGGCAGGGACACCTTCCACTAGAGCAGGCTGCTTCAAGCTCCATCCAGCCTGGCCTCAGGGCTATTTCTCCTTCATTTCCTACCTGTTTACTCCCTTTGCCCTGCCCAAGAAGTCTCTTTAGCTGCTCCTCTGCAAGGTCACCAAAGGTAGAGGAGTTTCAGGGATCTGTGAGCCTTGTGCCATGTCTCTTACAGACAGAAACCCCACCGATGGGGTTGTAGGCACACAGACAGTGGGACCTGGAGAGAGCTGCTTCCCTCAGGCAGCTAATACATCCGTAAGCTCCTCAACTCCCCTGAGAGGCTGTTGTTGCCCTGCGGAGCGTTTTCCCAGTCCCTTTAGGACAATACAAGAGCACTGACCCTCCGCGGCGAGGCTGAGGCGGGAGAACTTGCTGAACACACTCTTGGTGATGAAGTCGATGTGGCTGGTGGCAAAGCAGGAATAGTTCCCCAGGTCCGAAGCCTCCGTCTTGGCAATGTAAAGGTTTCCTGTGGTCTGAGAGACAAAACGTCTTCCATCGGCTGGGGGGGAATGAAATTGGGGAACTCATTCAGGAGCCATCGATAGGATAAGCCTGTGGGGAAAAGGAGCAAAGTGCACAAGTGGCCTGTGTCCTCTTGGGAGGGACTAAACCCAGCCTGCTCTCTTCTTAGCCCACGCTGGTCCTTGGATGGCACTTGTTTTCTCCATGGGATAAGTCCTACCTCTGATTTGTTGCTTTACAGAGCCTGAATTGAACCCAGATTCGCTTCCCGAGAATTCCCAAGGCAAAGCACAGTGTGCTTCACCTGGATGGGCATCCCCTGCTCCCGTGTCTCACCAGCAGCAGTGCTGCAGGCGCTGCTTACCTGGGTAGTGGGGAGGGGGGCTGCAGGCGAACATCACTCCCCAGCCTTCCGTGATCTTCACTGGGTCTCGTTCCTCTGCAGAGAATTCCTGCAAAACTAAACATGGAAAGTTAAAGCTGGCCGGGGTGAAGGGAGCAGCCCGAGCAATGGCTGCGTTTGATCCCCGCTCCACGGGCTGCGCTGCTCAGTGCTTGTACAGCGGGAGATCCAGAGCTACTACTGACTTTCTCCACAGTGCACCCACTTTCTAGTGCACCTCCATGGTACTGGGAAGAGCCCAGGGCTGATGTTGGGTATAGTGCATAGAAGAGCTTCTCTCCAACCTTCGTTAACGCGAGCAGGGGGCTCAGCGTACCCCCAGTTTATGTGGCTACAGTTCATTTACCTTGTGGAGACAAACTTACAGCCAAAGCGGAGGGAGGCTTCCCTGCTCACCACCGTGCCCCTGGAGTTAGATGCCACGCACTGGTAGGAGCCAGCATCCTTGGCTTTCACTGGGTTGCTTATCACCAGGTCACCTGCAACCAGCCGGTAACGGGAATCTGGCTCCATCTTTATCTCTGTGCCATTCATCTTCCACCTGCCAAGAGGAATGTGAAGAGTGAGAGCGGTATGAACCATGGAATCACGGAATGGTTTGGGTTGGAATCTCCCCTCTGGCAGGTTAAAGCCATTCCCCCTTGTCCTGTCCCTACAGGCCCTTGTCCAAAATCCTCATTTCAGCTCTTGAGGTGGCTGGTGCAGGCTGTGCTTGTTTGCTGGGATCTGGGTTAGGTTGAGCCCATGCCCCGGGAGGGATGGTGCATCCCGTGTGGATGAGGAGGCTGGCTCCCATGTTAGTGGTTTTCCATGATGGTTGTGCCCCAGTCCTGGCGCCAGGAGGTCTCACCTGTAGGTCGCAGGGGGACTGGCTCTGGCTCGGCAGGACAGGGTGACCTTCTCTTCTGCTGAGCCCTCGGGGAAGAGGGTGTGCGCTGGCTGCTCTTCAAACACCGGCCCGTAGTTCCTTGTGCTGCTCTGTGCTTGGCACCACACTGCAGGAGGGAAGAGAAGCTCAGCCCCATTTAGCTGTTCCTAAACTTGGCATTCTCAGTCCTGTAGCGTGTCCCTGCCAGCGCCAGAACCAAAGAAGAGCAACATGAAAATCACAACCCATATGTCAGCCCAGCCCCAGCCATGGCTCTGGGCAGATAACGTGCCTTTCCCACTGAGCAGCTCACACCATCTCTGCTGTGACAGAGGGACCAGATGGGCCTGAAGACGTGCAGATGAAGGAGATCTGACATGTGCCTCTTGCAAACCATGCACAGAGACTGGAGCCCGGAGCCCCTGGATGCCCCCTTGTCCCTGCAGTGAGGACATGCTGCTTCCCCTCTGTCTGTACAAACTTTGGCTGGTTGGTTCCTGTGAAATCCTCTCCAGGACACTGCCTCCCTGCAGATCCCCCCCATCCCTGTGTCTGCAGCATCATCAGCTCTCGACAACTCAAACCTGCTGCTTGCTGGGGTGCAAACCAGCGCTGCTGGAAGCAGTTCTGCTGTTCAACTAATGGGATGAGCTTGAAGCTTCCTTTGTGGTGTTCAGGCATGGGTTTGGTTCTGGGTATGGCTCAGGCATAGGCACAAGAGGAACATAAGAACCTGCCTTCTCCTGCACTGTGTCACCTTTGGCGCGGTGACGATGTTTCACTGGGAGCAGCTATCCACAGCGTGTGACTGTGCATCTCAGACGTGTGACAAGTGCTGGCAGACCCCTTCCACACAGGCTGTCTGGAAACGGGTGTGCAGATAAGGAAGAACAAAGCAGAAGCTGCCTGGAAATCCCTCACTGCAGGAGCAGCTACTGGGATAATGACCACCGGGAAGTCTGCTCCCTCCCTGGCTCCCTGTCCCTTAGCAGGGACAGGGCCACCTCAAGGCAGTGAGCTTCCAGCACGGTCCCCCTCTGCCTCTGGAGTGAGCAGCTTAGTGAGCTCCAGGAGCCTTCCATGCTTTGTATTTGAATTAATAACTGGCTTCAAACTGCCATGCCAACCAGCAATCTGCCTCCTTCCCACAGCACACAGCATGGTCACTGGTTAAATTAAGTGACTCCAGTCAGTGTGATGTTTTATGCAAGAGCAACTTGCAGCAGGGAACGGCCAGCTCAGTTCTGCTGGGCTCGGGGGAAGCAGCCCTTTACCTGTAGCTCCTGGGGTTCAGCTCATGTTCCGGCTGCTCTTGCATGTGGAGATGAGGGTGGGATGGGAGCTAATTGGCTCCATGGGTATGGAGCAGCTGCTCCTTGTGTCCGAGCATCAGGCAATTACCAGGCCCTTGGTGTCAGGGATGTGCTGCTGCTGCTGCAAGGGAGCTGCATCAGGCAGGGACCTGACGGTGCCACTGTCACACAGGGGACAGTGACTGTAGCCTGTGTCTGATGCTTTGGGAGAAGAGAAAAGCAGCATCTTCAGTGCCATATTCCCTCCAAATCCATGTGGGTGCCACTTCCTTCTAGACCAGTTCCATTCACAAAGAAGTGTGTGTAAGCTGGAAATCTCCTCTCAGCAATGGTTGTGCAGAGCAAGTCTCCAGGAAATAACTCTGCTGACCAGCAGGTAAAGTAATCATGAGTTAATAGAGAATTAATAAGAAAGGAGGGTGTTAATTGTGTTCTGATAGATGGTAATGAACGGATTAAGGCTGAAATGCTTTTCATTTTGAGATTCATAGTGTATGGGAAATAATTCCCGTGTCTTTAACAATTACAATATGTATTATTAACACTCACATGCTGCTTCTAATGGGATGCTCTTTCCCAGTCCAGCCACATTACATTAACCGTCCCCTCTGACTCCACCCAGCATCTGCACCCCATTGTTGCCCGCTGCTGTCACCTTCTCTCTGCCAAGGTTATGGACTACAACTGTCAGGCATTGATTTTCTCTAATGTAATCAATGCCAGGAGTTTGGGTGAGGTTTTATCTGCAGTTCCAAGGTGTCTGCTCGGTGGCGAGGGTGAAACGCCCGGATTTCACTCATTAAGCAGAACACCAGTTAAAGTCATCATGCAACAGATACAAGATGAGGATATGGTTGGAACTAGGACCTGACAGCAAAGCAGAGGCGTAAATCTCAGTTCCTCTGAGGCTGACAACTGTCATTCGTAATGTTAGCAAAACCTTGGGCTCTGTCATCTGGACAGTGGGCAGAAGACAAACACAAACTAAAGGTCTTTAAACCTGCAAGCTGAATCTGCAGGAAGCAGAGTGACCTTGCCTTATGCGGCTCATCTTTGTGTGTTAAAATCCAGCTAAGAGAGCAGAAAGGATGGTAAAGGCGCTGCTGCGCCTCTCTAGAACAGCTTTGGTTACTAGGGAAAGTAAATGTTAACAGCAGAATAAATAGTAGGTGAAAGTGGAAACTGAAGGTTGGAAAACCGGGCTGAAGACTTCACATAGCACTCGAGGAGTGAGTTGTGTGCTGGCTGGGAGAGGGAAGTCCTGTATCCTGAAAGGACAGCGCAGTTTCTGGGTGACTGAGCGATATTATTAGGATGTGGAATATGCTGGAAGCCAGACCTGGAAAGGCCGCGTGTCCAGGAGACTGTTTTCCCTTTGTGCTGAGCTTTGGAGAGTGGGAAGTGCTGAATGTCTGAGCTGAATGTTGTCCAAGGCGTGTTCCAGTTCCGGAGGGCAGCAGCAGCCCTTTGCAGGCGCGCAGGGAGCTCCGGAGCACTGACCGCAGCCTGGAGCCCTGGCACACGAGGGAGCTGGGCAATTAATTGCTGGTGTAGGAAAGCTGAACACAGACACATGTGCCCCAAATCAAAGTTGTTCTTTTTAAAGTGCAGCTCTCGGAGGAGCAGGGGGTTATTTTTAACGAGACTCTTTCTGGGGAACAAAGGGACAGGCTGTGCCTGGCCTTGGATTTCAAGATTTTCCAGGGCTTTTACTGGAATGGGGGGGTTCAGCCATTCCTGGCAGCCTCGTTCATGAGAGACTCATCTCTCTGCACTGCGTGAGCTTTAAACCTTTACATACTGCTGGGAAGTCACCCCAGGGAGGGAGGTGTTGCCAATCCAGCTTCCCAGCTTCCCACTCCAGAGGGTCTCCATCCGCTCTGGAGTGGTTCCTTGAGCCTTATCTGTAGCTGGTCCCTCAATCCTGTTCCCGGTGAGGATTTCTCTGTGTCCCAGCTGGCTCCTGAGATCCATTCCATCATCAGCCAAAGGTTGAGATAAACCAACCCTCATGGGCTTTCCACTGAGTCATTTTCTGGGGGCTCAGCTTGGACGGGGAGCAAGTGGCACAAACTCAGCTGGTTAATGGGAGGACCCGACTCCATCCTCCTGCCTCGACCAGATTTGGGTCACACCAATTGCCAAACAGGCTAATTGCATCCCAATGTAGGGCAGCCACCCCTCCCTCTGCCTCCTCGGGGACCCAGAGAACATTAAAAGGTAATTAGATATTTATAAGGACAGGCGAGCAGTCTCTGCCCAGGATGATGAATTACCTTGAAGACATTATCTTAGTCTCAGTGGTCTGAAATGAAACATCTCCCTGCTGAAAAGGGACCTTCCGAATGCAGCCTGAGACTCCCCGAGATGCAGAAGTGGTCCCTGATGAACAGGGGAATCTTTGCAGCCAGGGAATGGCCAAAAAGGCATCCTTAGGAAAGAAGCAGGAGGCAAAGTGGCTTTGCCACGAGTGAGTCCTGCTGGCAGGAGGACATTCCTCCTTGTCCCAAGGCGAGCACTGCGGAGGCTGCAAGGGACACTGCTCCTACCCAGGCATTGCCTGAGGGTCTGCGTCTCTTGCACTCCACCTAAATTTGAACTGAGAAAGGAGGAGACTTGTGTCTCAATCCCTGCCCTTTTCCTTGAGCGGAACAAAGGGAAGTTGAGCAAAGCTGCATAAACCACCGGAGAATTGGGCTTGAGCATCACCGAGCACAGACAAGTGCATCCCGGGCGAGCAATGCAGCATGACTATTGATGCCCCAGGTCACTCTGCTTGGCATCTCCAGCTTCTCCCGTGGAAACCCCCGGGATGGGACAGGGATGTGGGGGGCTGCGCTTACCCAGGAAGGTGATGGCAGCGAGGGATGTGCAGACAAATCCAGCGGCGCTTCCCATCCTGCGCCTCCAGCCGGGTTAGGGCTGAGCCTCGGTGCGTGCGTGGGGACGGCGGCCCTGAGGGAGACACGGCCACAGGAGTTAGACTCATAGAACCATGGAATGGTTTGGG